TGACAATAACAGAGTCATCTGCATATTTAATAATGACCCTGTTTTCATGTCTGCCCTGACACATATTTGTATAGAGAGTGAATAATAAGGGCGATAGGACACACCCTTGAGGAGAACCTGTGGAGGAGAACACTGGGTCAGACAGAACCCCATTTATTCTCACTCTTTGTGATCTGTCAGACCGGAAAACATTTATTTCGATTAAGAGATTTCGATTAATCAGACTCTAAGGATATTTATCAGCCACAACGGCGTGCCACTGTTTTCTCTTTGTAACTAGAACAAGAATTCACAAGTAGCATTGTTTTTATATCTGTTTGTGGACAGATTTTTAAGGATTAGGCTTTAGTGGCTGAGTGGTTGCTGGCTGTCGTCGTTGTTGCTTTGGTCACTAGCAGATTGCCCAAAGTTTGTTAAAAGACAATATCATGCCCTCAAACCACCAAGCAGTTGTAACATTCAAAAAATAAAAAGAAATTTGATTCAAAACAGAAAGTGAGTGTGTTCACCTTCAAAGTAAAAGATGTGCCTCACCTCTGATACCACCCCATTTAAAAACATGCAACTTTTACTTTGAAGGCAAAGGTCTCTGATTCTGCTTTGCATCACTCTCTTTACAGTTTCACTACTGCTTGGCAAGTGGTTGGAGAGTGTTTGCAGATAATTTGGCATCTTTGAAACAAACTACCAGCTTTTAGTGACAAGCAATAGCAACAGCAGGCAACTTCTAGCAATCCCTCATGACCCTTATTCACAATAGATCATAGAAATATCGATATCCTATTATAAATATCAAATATCAAAGGTTTAAATTGTGCCATTTAAAAAAAAACAAATAAGCCCATTTTGAATTTGATGAATGCAACACATCTAAAAAAAGTTAGAACAAGGCCTTGTTTACAGCATCCCCTCTTCTCGTAGGTCGTGGATGGAGTAATATAGTCAACAAATGAACAAATCCAATGAAAAGTCCAAAATCAACAATGATTTGATCCACATAAGTATTGTTTGTGTGTATTGGGCACCTAATATATTTTGCTCTGTTTATACCATTGAGTTAGCTCTTTCTCCCTTAAATTGGGACTAACTGGATGGTTGGAGCTTCAGTCTCCAGCTTTTCCATTAGCAAGGTTGAAATGCCAGATACTGTATTGATATTGCCCCCCTGCACCCGTGTATCTATGTGTGATATTGAAAACTAATTTTTATTTTTAATTAATGCATATGAGTCCTGCTGCTGCCCCAAATACATGCTAGAGTACCAAATGGAAATGAATCAACAAAATATATAGTGTCATATGATGTTATATGTATTTGATTACCATAAAAATGATAGTATTGAGGGTTTTTTAGTAACTGTAATTTGATAATCCTTAAAATAAAATGTAGTGAGTGTCTGAGTTTGGGACGATCGTGGCTCAAGAGTTGGGAGTTCGCCTTGTAATCGGAAGGTTGCCGGTTTGAGCCCCGGCTCGGACAGTCTCGGTCGTTGTGTCCTTGGGCAAGACACTTCACCTACCGCCTACTGGTGATGGCCAGAAGGGTCGATGGCTTAAGCTTAAAACTCTACTCTCAAAGCCCGGTTTGTTGATTTAATTTATGAAGTAATTTAAGGTGGCATTTTTAAAGTGTGGACAAGATGCATGATGTCCATTAATTGGTATCCTATAAATTAAAAACATGGTTAATCACACAGAAAGAAGTGAGTCTATGGAAAATTTGTTTATCAAAAACCATGATTTGAATCCTTTATATTGCCTATATACTCACAAAGTGATGTCGCAGAGATGTCCTTTAGAAGTTCCTCTTCAAAATAAGACCAGCCTCACTAAAATAAAAACAAACCATTTATAATGCAAGTGGTTTTTTAAACTTATTAAACACAGTGTACTCCTTTTAAAAGGAATTCCAACATTTTTCTAAATACTATTATTATTTTACAGTTTAACATTGATTTCAACAGTTTTTGCCTGGTTACAAAAAAAAGTTGATTAATTAAAATAAATAAACCAGTTAAAAAATGTCAAATAAAAAAAAAATCAATAAGCTAACACGTGAGAAATTGTGTTTGTTTATAAACAATCTGTATTCACGTGTCATGTTGATAACAACAATGTTGATATTTGTAAATAAAAAAAATCATTACATTACTTAACCATGTAAGCTCCCTGCACCTGTCATAGACGTTCACATGACGTCCCAAAAAATGATCCAGTCTGAAATGTTGAACATCATAGGTTGGGTTGGGTCATGGTTGGACGTCCAAATTGTGGACCAAGTCGGATGTTGTATAGATGTCCAGAATTGGTCATGGACCAACGCACCCAGTGTAGAAATGTGTACGTCTATGTGATTTCCAATGTTTAATACAATATCTAAATGGTCTCTGGTCCTATAAATCAGTTTGATTTGCGTAATTAAAAGTGAGATGATCAGAGTATTTATGTAGGGACCTATTTTTGCTACTGTTCCCCTAAAGATTAAAAATTAAATTGCTCATTAAGCAAAAGGGTTATTCAAAGTAATATATCAATCACTGGATCATTATTGGTGTCAAATGAATATGCAGCCACAGTTTAATGCTTTAGCTGGTCATAGTGGAGTTAATTATAACTACTAGGGGTAGTAAAATGGTTTAATATTCCAGGATCATATGATTTGTTTTAAATAGAAGCATAGTGGAATAAAAACTACAGTATGTCCAAGAGCAGAATATAATGGAAGTCAAATATAAATAGCTTCAAAATGTTACTGCAGACCTAGTAAGATAGTATGTTAAGAGGTGCAGTCGTTTGTAGTTTTCAGTTTTCTGTCCACTCCTGCTAGGAAATAAATTCTGGCCAGCAGACTTTGATATGATCAGAAAAAGTGTCTGCACTTTGGTTTTTGTGGTCAGGGAGTAAAGCAGTGATAAGGAAAGCACAAATATACAGGCAACTGAACACTACATGGTTTACATTGGAAACAGAAGCTTCAGGAGAAGCTAAAGCTGCCTGACAAGATTTGATTTGTTCCTGCAGCTTTCTCCAGTTTCACCGACACACAGTTTATTCTTAAAGGCTGCTCAACTGCTTCAAGTGTAGTTATGCTCCTCACTATAATTTTAAGTCACAATTAAAGAATTTTTTAAGAAAACGATAGAGGCACCAACAAAAAACTTGTGTTTAGGTGTTTTTTTCCCTCTTCAGGCTTAATGAGCACGTAGCAGAGAAAATAACCACAGTGAGTGCTTCAGCGTCCCTCTTAAATTTGAATAAGATCAAAATCAGCGCAGGGAGATTTTTCACTTAACGATATGTGGCAGCTGAGTGTTTTGAAGATCAACTTGTCAAATTGCAATTCCAGCCAGTTTTCCCAAAAGCATCTTAAAGATAGGATGATAGTAAAATTCTGTGAACTTTCTGAAATCCAAGAGCCATTTCCCCAAAGCATCGTAATTTCAGATGTTCTTAGGAATTCAATTATATTAACGACTTTCTAACCATTTACTGACAGCTAAGAGTCTCTTTAAAAAGCCCTGTGATATTTTTGGTTTTTCATTTTAATTTTTTTTTTATTTAGGCTATATGCATCACAGGACATGTTATGCATCTTTGTTGCAAGTTTAGTAACCCGTAGCTAAATCTCAATGCATGCCTTGAGCAGCAGGATGTAATATAATGCTAACATGCCTTGAGCAGCAGCTAGATTAATTGAAGGTTTCTTATAGTCTTCTTATATTTTCTTAATTCCATTATCATTAATCAAAGCAATCCAGAAGCTAAACCAATTTTCATGTTGTCTCTACATTATTACATTTCATAATGAACATGGGCAGATACAAAATATTTCACAGTATTTTTAAAACATTTAAGAAAGAAGTCTACAGAACATCTATATTCAAACGCTCAACATGCAATGTGTGCATTTGTTTGCAATGTTAGGAAACACTGTAAATAAAAGATGGCTTTAGCTATCACCCATTGTATGTTTTGAGAATGACAAGTCTCAAAAGACTGACTGAATGACAAGTGACAGACCAACCATGACACCGAGGACACTGTATGCCCACTTTAACATGCTTTTTGATAATTTGTGCTATAATTTACTTAAAACTGTGTTTTCTGATTCATCACACTGCACTGGGGGACTTTAGCCTGTTTGACTGGTCAATTACAAACCAAACAGCAAATAGAAACAAAAAGGTTGTTTTAAACATGGAAGTTAAAACATGAACCCCAAACCCGTACAACCTTTGTAGAACAGGCTTTGTGTCTCATTAATAACTCGTGATTTTCCAATGTTTTTTCAACATGCAATTGTTAAAACATTTTTCTAACTCACCAATCTGAGAGCGACAGAAGTGAAAACCTGAGTGATGAAGGTTAAATAACAGCAGATTTAGACTATAAAGACATGATTGGGGTAGGTGAGGCAACAGTGAATAGATGCAATCAGCAGTGGAGACAGAAACATGCCAGTAAACAACCACAGATGGATGTGCAAATCAACTACCGACAGATAATCAGTGTTAATAATACTGCATATACACTTATACAACCATATCACCAGTGCATATGCATGCTGATATACATAGCCAAAGAGAAAACAACTTTTCCAGCCGCCCACACAGGTGTGAGTCAATAAGTTTAATGCCTTGCCTTTGCTTATTTGCGGTGATTTGTTTTAGGATATTTGACCTATCATAAACAACTTTTCTCTTACTACCTTCCTCAAGCACATCAACTTAATGTTTCTGTCTTGTTCACTGTTCCTATGTTGAGGCAGTTCTCTAGATTATAAACTCTCATAAAAATCTTCTTCTTGATGTACTAAAGTTGATACATTTATAATATCACTTCTATTTAAAAATAATAATAATTATCCAATAATTTATGGTACTACCACCTAACCTCTTGCACTTTTAGCTTTCTCCTCTTTCATTCAAGAACTATTGTTGCCATATGTTTCCACAGAGAGCTGTCCTATAAATCTATATATCTCGACAACTGTTCATCCGATCTGCTTTAAACTGTGCACCAAAGAGATTTCTTTTTCTTCTGGCAGCTAAAAAATGCCAGCTGCGAGTGCTTGAGAGCAATCTGGAGATGAAGTATTTCTTTCGTTGCTATGATACAGAATATCCAAGGAAGTAATATCTTGTAAAAACCGTGACTCTAGATGACTTTTGTTTACCTGCTATACCCACTGCAAACTAAATCGTCCTGAGAGCCAAACTTTTCATACAAGCAGTAAAAAGTCCCCATTGTTCAGCACTAGTGCGAATAGGATGTGATCTTGGTTCACTGAAGTATTTGACTCACCCTTTTGCCACTGAAAATGGAAGTCTGGTTAAAAAATGACAGCATTGGCCATAATTGTTTATGAGAAGTTGAACATTTTTCAACTGAAAAATCTGGAAAGAAAAAAGATGCCCTGCTTTTTTTTTTTTTTCTTAGCATATTATCAAAAATATGTTTCTATCATTGCAAACAGCTGAGAGGGCAGTCCATGAGATGTATGCTGTGGTGGACACAGCCCCTGAGGACAATGACCAAGAAGATTTTATAATTAAGCAAGCATAGCTGTAGCTGGATCTAATCTGCATAGGAGGTAATGACTGTCTATATGTTCTACTTTTGCTGATGTTAATATACAGTATAATAGTCGTCTTAACCAGGTAGGTACAAAGACGTAAAATGTCCACAAACAGGACTTAATTACAACAATAGTGTAACGGGAAGAGTATTTACAGTGGGGCAAAAAAGTATTTAGTCAGCCACCGATTGTGCAAGTTCCCCCACTTAAAATGATGACAGAGGTCAGTAATTTGCACCAGAGGTACACTTCAACTGTGAGAGACAGAATGTGAAAAAAAAATCCATGAAATCACATGGTAGGATTTGTAAAGAATTTATTCGTAAATTAGGGTGGAAAATAAGTATTTGGTCACCTCAAACAAGGAAAATCTCTGGCTCTCACAGACCTGTAACGTCTTCTGTAAGAAGCTTGTCTGTCCCCCACTCGTTACCTGTATGAATGGCACCTGTTTGAACTCATCATCTGTATAAAAGACACCTGTCCACAGCCTCAAACAGTCAGACTCCAAACTCCGCCATGGCCAAGACCAAAGAGCTTTCGAAGGACACCAGGAAAAGTATTGTAGACCTGCACCAGACTGGGAAGAGTGAATCTACAATAGGCAAGCAGCTTGGTGTGAAAAAATCAACTGTGGGAGCAATCATCAGAAAATGGAAGACATACAAGACCACTGATAATCTCCCTCGATCTGGGGCTCCACACAAGATCTCATCCCGTGGGGTCAAAATGATCATGAGAACGGTGAGCAAAGATCCCAGAACCACACGTGGGGACCTGGTGAATGACCTGCAGAGAGCTGGGACCAAAGTAACAAAGGTCACCATCAGTAACACACTACAACGGCAGCGAATCAAATCCCGCAGTGCCAGACGTGTTCCGCTGCTGAAGCCAGTGCATGTCCAGGCCCGTCTGAAGTTTGCCAGAGAGCACATGGATGATACAGCAGAGGATTGGGAGAATGTCATGTGGTCAGATGAAACCAAAGTAGAACTTTTTGGTATAAACTCAACTCGTCGTGTTTGGAGGAAGAAGAATACTGAGTTGCATCCCAAGAACACCATACCTACTGTGAAGCATGGGGGTGGAAACATCATGCTATGGGGCTGTTTTTCTGCCAAGGGGACAGGACGACTGATCCGTGTTAAGGACAGAATGAATGGGGCCATGTATCGTGAGATTTTGAGCCAAAACCTCCTTCCATCAGTGAGAACTTTGAAGATGAAACGAGGCTGGGTCTTCCAACATGACAATGATCCAAAACACACCGCCCGGGCAACAAAGGAGTGGCTCCGTAAGAAGCATTTGAAAGTCCTGGAGTGGCCTAGCCAGTCTCCAGACCTCAACCCCATAGAAAATCTGTGGCGGGAGTTGAAAGCCCGTGTTGCTCGGCGACAGCCCCAAAACATCAGTGCTCTCGAGAAGATCTGCATGGAGGAATGGGCCAAAATACCAGCTACTGTGTGTGCAAACCTGGTAAAGACCTATAGTAAACGTTTGACCTCTGTTATTGCCAACAAAGGTTATGTTACAAAGTATTGAGTTGTATTTTTGTTATTGACCAAATACTTATTTTCCACCCTGATTTACGAATAAATTCTTTGTGTGCATATCCTGGACAAGCCCCCAAACATGTAACGGTTCCTATGTACATGCCTCAAAGGATCCTAATATAGAAGAAGATAAAGTTTTAAATTGAAACTGATATTGAAAGTGTAAACTGAATTACTTACAAAGACCAAATACAAATAAGGGACTTGCAGTCCTAGCAAAAACAAGGAAAAGATCAAAAACACCAGGAACTGACCATACAACTGCCCATTAGTTCCGTGCTTTTTCCCTAACCTGATATTAGCCAAGACTAATCCAAACTGAAACTGAAACTGATGCCAACACCCAATTAATAATATTAACATAACTCCACCTTCTCTGGCCTTTTGTGCATACCTTGAGGGTTTTGCAGCCAGTCAGCATTAAGGCATGTGGAACAGTAGTACACATAAACTTTTCTAGCTCTGCAAAGATGCTGTTACACCAATGCTTGCAATTAAAATTTGAATGCCTCTCAACCTTTGAGCTTTGTCAAACATTAGTGTCTGTTTATATGGTTATTTTGTTTTTCATCATGCAGGGCATCTCAGGCTGAGAGAGAACCACAGAGCCAAATTAGTATATAAAAACAAAAAATATTTATGGGGGTGTGTCTGAACTTTAAGGTTTTTGGAAACTGTGTTGTTCAAATTCCATATAAAATAACAATAAGAATTTATCCCCAAACTGAGTCAAAACCTTTCTGCTTGGATCAAAGTGCATATGCTCTTGGTCACATATATTTTGTCCACTTGAAGGGAGAAGTTCAGTGGAGAGGGGAACAACCATGGGGCATTGTTTCTGGGTCAGAGCGCTCTGATGGAGGTGTTAAGTCATTCAGGGTCGCTATACACAAAACACACATACAAAACCATTTGAGAAAAAGCTGTTATATTGTGTAAAATATAATATTAATAATAATTTTTAAAAACTGAAAATGTCATGCACCCATATGTTACTCACAATAGAGCACAGAAAATAACTTGAATATTAATATGAAGAAAATGTGTTTATTTTTAATTTGACTGCAGGAACATATTTCAGAAAAGTTTTAACAATAACACTTACAGGGAAAAACAAAAACTAACTGTTAAGAAATCTTTTGAGATCCCACCACCATTGTGATTAGGAATGTAAGACAGAACATACTCATCATATTATCATAAGTCATGACATTTTCCAGTTTTTTGAGCCGTGACGGCTTCTCTTTCTTCTCTAGTTTTTTTTTTCTTCCAATCTTTGACTCATTATTCTGAAATTTATAATGGAACGCTATTGAAATCCTTTTTTGATATTGTAAGTACATTCACTATTTTCCTGTTCTAAAAATCATTAATATTAATTTCACTTAACTTGACTTCATTAAATGACTCACATATTGTACACCAGTGATTCATTTTTTCTGCTTTCTTCTTTCCATTTTGAGACTTTCAACCAGAGTATTTTTGACAGTTTTATTTTAAAAAAGAACAAAATACAAAAAAAAAAAGAAATACAGCTCAGAAATTCAGTGGAGACCTCACAGCCGGCTGAACAGCAACTAGACAAATGTCTAACTTGTCAAACCTTAAGCTTTGAATTGTCGTCATTTTTTTCAGTGGGCTACTATTTGGTTTCTCTGCAGACTTTCAAAGAAATTATCAAGATATACATTACACGGCACACAATGTTTCCTTCTATTATTTGTATTCTGCTCATGCTGTTTTTTTTTCTTTCCCAGAGAGTGACTGCCAGCTTCTCACCAAACTGCCCAAAGTTAAATGCTTTCGCAACAACAAGCGAGAAGGTATGGAAGCAGTTGCGTTTGAAAAATTTCATTAGCATTTTTAACATGCTAGTGTGTATAAATTTGCATGCTTAATCATTCTTATGTTCTTTGTAGGTTTTTTGGCATCTCATTTGTCACCGGTGTGCTAGATTTGTGTGTGTATGTGTATAAAAAGGTGTTATTCAGGGTGTGTATAAAGAATATAAATTTCACTGGTGGTACTGAAAACTCTCTGCCTAAACAATCCCATGCTGTATATAAACACACAGAGACGGGTGGACAGACAGAAAGACAGTGAGTGAAGTGAAATTGATTCATTCATCTCTGGCTACATATTGAACTGCAGAACTGAAATGACCTGAAGTGAATTGAAGTGACAGGAGAGCTACTGAAATAGAGCCCAGAGTGGCAAGCTATCATAAAAAAAATGTCACTGAAAAGAAAATGTCTTCCACAATCTCAAACCAAACATACATTAATTCAAAAGCAAGCTTATATGCTGAAATTTAAAAAAAAAAAAAAAAGAAAATTTATAAATAACCTAATCACAGATGACAACCAGTTTGAAGTTAAAGCCTCAGTCACACTAAATATGGATGGTGTTCCTCATTTTAATGGTTAATACAGTCATGTGTCATGGCTATGCTTATCATTTTTCCATATAATCCATTTGGAGCTGCCTCCATGCTCTTAAATATAGAATACGAATGAATGGAATACATAAATTAACATGACAGCTTGACAATATGGCGGGGTCAGGAGTATACTGTGAATAAAGAAATGGTTAATGGCCAGAAAAAGGTTTAAGACATATATAATCTTCCACTGTAGCTGACTCAAGATGTTTGGTATGTGCATGATTTTTAAGGAATTGAAATGGATTAAATACTTCGGGCTGAAAGAACATTTTATTTGACTAAAACAATAGTGGAGGTGGCATGCTGTGGTTTATTCAGGTCTTTTAATCGTTTAACTTTTTGCCACTGAATGTTGCACTTTAACTACTACACCCCACTGTTAGAAGCAAATTCACAAAATAGACCCAAGTACAGACACATACTGAGGCAGACAGTAGGGGTGCAACGATACACAAAATTCACGGTTCGGTTCGGTTCGATACTTTGGTATCACGGTTCAATATTTTTTCGATACAAGAAAATGTTCATGCTTTTTTAATTTGTCATTTATTAAAATTATAAATATATATTTTAACTCCAACGTACAGTTTTTAAATTTAATGTTGCTGAAACAACAAGGGGA